CACTCAGCGATCCATGAGAACTGAGCACACCCTCGTTGGAGTGCACTTATGAGTACCGTCAACGGGGGTAACTTGGGACACCGGAGGTAACTTGGGACAGTCCGCCCTGTACAGCTTGTTGGTGCTGCCATTCAGCGACGGGGGTTCCTAGCGTCAAACCCGCGGCAGGGTTTTGTTTCAGAGGCCTCAGGGCACGCGCGGAATGGTAGAAAAGGCGCATTACATCACAATCTGTATTTGAGAAACGGGAAACTACATAATAGGGCTTTTGACAAAATATGTCAAACATTGACAAGTTGACCCCAGTGCAAGGAGTGAAATGCAGATTTGGCCGATTAGTCTCTCTGGGCTGTTAGATCATACACGACAATAAGGTTCGCAAAAGGGCGTTGATTATAGTTCTCCCATCTTCGGTCCAGACTTCAATTTGTCAAAAATCGAAATTTTACGGGGTAACTTGGGACAGTCTTTTCCTCATGTTTCCAGCAGTCCTAGCCTCCGAGGAGTTGACTGACCCGGTCCCTGACATAACATAAACTTCGGATTTTACGCTGATGATGGAAAGAGATGCCTTGCTCTGCAATTTTGTCTGCTGGTAATCCATATTTTGAAATTTTCAGAAAATGCCTGGAAAATACCAGTAGAAAAGAGAGTTCCACGTAAAACCCTAGATATAGTCCAATATCGGTCCTACAAGAGTTCCTAGGCCTGAATTCTTGGTCTACATGTTGTGACCCAAATTTATTACATCCATTAGCATCAATAGATGCATGGGAACGTAGCTAATTACCTACTGTCCCAAGTTACCCCCGGTCATGGGGTAACTTGGGACACTCTTTCGAGACCGGTTGGAAACGATGTAATCGAGGCAAATGAACCAGACAAGCATGAAATCATGGGGAAAGGGTCAAACTTTAACATAGTTAGGATCCAATGGTCTGGGTTGAAAATCTTGCCTCTGGCGTTCAAAAAACGTGAAAAAGTGTCCCAAGTTACCCCCGTTGTCGGTACACACCAAAAAGATTGAACTTGAGCGCACTGTTGACTTTGCAGAGTAATCGCTCAAATTATGATTATTCTTTCATCTCAGCCAGGCAGCCCGGAAGGCGGGGAGACAAGCAGCCGGTCATGCAGGCAGCCAGGCAGGCAGGCAGGCAGGCAGGCAGGCAGGCAGGCAGGCAGGCAGGCAGGCAGGCAGGCAGCTGCCGCCGTCTCTTACCGTCTCAGCCTATAGCGCCCGGCCAATAGGCAGGCCCGCCGCGCAGGGGTGACTCGCGGCGGGCCTATCACAGGCGCCCCGCCCCGCCCCGCCCCGCCCCGCCTCACAAAGGCAGCGGAAATTGACGGGATGGGGGAGCAAAGTAGTTTTAGCGACACAAAAATAAAAACAACAACAAAATGTAGGTAAAACCCCAGACACGCGCGGGCGTCTTGGAGGCCTAGCGCGGCCCGGCGGCAGCGGCACGGAATTGGGCAATCTCGGGGAAGAATAAGGCAGCCTGCACTTTTTCCACGACGCGGGCGGAGCGGGCGATCAGGCCGGAGAGATTGAAAACCACGCCGCTGCACTGTACCCACACAAGAGCCACGGCGCACAGTGGGCCAGAAGACTGGTGGAGGCGGTCAAAATCCCGGACGTTGTTTTGAGCTCCAGAGTCGCTAAATGGGACTCGAACCGAACGTGTGACCCCACCAATGGATTCCTCGTTCGGAGAGCAATCCATTGGTGGGGTCACACGTTCGGTTCGAGTCCCATTTAGCGACTAGCTCAAAACGCGTTTAGAGTTTCGGCCGCCTGCGCCGGTCTTCTGGCCCACTGTGCGACGCGACGCTGTGCACACACAAACTCTGCCTGCAGCGGCAGGCACGCTCTGTCTCTCTCCCACCTACACGGCGCGGCCCGAGAGTGCGAGAGAGAGGCAGAGCAACGAAAACGAACGACTCCCGGAGTCAGCCTGCAGACCGATCCCAAACAGTATGCTTCGCCTCCCTCGCGCGCAGAGGGACGCAGCACAGTGGGCCAGAAGACCAGTGGAGCCGGTCAAAATCCCGGACGCGTTTTGAGCTCCAGAGTCGCTAAATGGAACTCGAACCGAACGTGTGACCCCACCAATGGATTGCTCTCCGAACGAGGAATCCATTGGTGGGGTCACACGCTCGGTTCGAGTCCTGTTTAGCGACTTTGAAGCTCAAAACGCGTCTAGAATTTTGGCCGCCTCCACCGGTCTTCTGGCCCACTGTGCGCAGAGGGTGCGAGCGAGAGGGACGCGCGATGAAAGCACTGCACGCAATCAAAATGTGCAGACCGTGCGTAATGTGCGCCGTGCTCTTAGTGCGACGGCCCGACGGCCGGAGTGCACTCAGCAGACTGAATCCGAGGGTCCTCGCTCCGTCTCTCTCGCACTCGTGGGCGGCCCGTGCAGGTGCGCGAGAGACAGAGCGACGAAAGCGACTCTCGGAATCAGTCTGCAGACTCACGGCGGACACGGGCAAATGGAACGCCAGTCGCATGGCCCCGAGGGCAGACAGCCGCTCCTGCATGTGCATCAAGAGCTTATGCAAGCTCAAAACCTGGCGATGCATTTTGCACGTATGTGAGGTTACAAACTACTTCGTTTGTTTACACGAACAATAGTTCGCAAATGGCGAAGAATTTCCTTTGCAAGCTTATGCTTAAACAATTGTTATGACAAGCCGATTAGGTTTTCTTTGCATGGCCTAAAATAGTTTATAAGGTTCGGGGAGTGTCGACTTTTTGCACGTAAGTAGAGCAAGTGTAACGTAATGTACAAAGAAATGTGCAAATAAAGTTGGTACAATTTTGTGAACCCCTTAGCACAATAATAGTCATTATTCCGTTTTTTTTTTTTGTTTTTTTTTGCCCGTTTTGCATGTTTTTCCCGCTGTGCGAGTTTGCTGCACGGCCCGCTTAGCCCGCTTAGCCCGCTTAGTCCGGAATACGGAAAGTCAATACGACGAATGCATTTGCCGCGCGTCGTGCGCAGAGCGACGTCGTTACGGGAGCGCATAATGGATGAACCCGGCCAGCGGCGTTGCTCCGAACACCACTTTCGTCGCTCTCTCTCTCTCTCTCTCTCTCTCTCTCTCTCCCTCTATCAGGGGACCGACGACTGACTGAGTCGTTGTCGTCTCTCTCTCTCTCTCTCTCTCTTCTCCCCTCTCTCCCCTCTCTTTTCTTCTCTCTCTCTCTCAACCCAACCAGGAAAGCCCCCCGAGTTTTTGTGAGAGAGACAGAGCGACGAAAACGACTTATTGCGGGATCAGTCTGCTGCACCTGGCAGGAGGAGCGCATTCGTCCTAATCCTGATGGGATAAAGTTTTGCCCCTGTCTTGTCAGTGCCCCTCTCTAGTCCCGCCCCGGTCTCTCCCCACGCCGCCTAGGCCGACTAGGTACGGCAGGCTGGTTCCGGAGGGTTCTGTCGTCCCTCTCTCTCGCGCCCCTACGAGACGCTCCATGAGAGCGAGAGAGGCAGAGCGACAAAACGACACTGCAGTCTGCAGGTGCAGTGCAGAAGCGTTCCTTGTTTCCCCAGGGACCTCCTGGAAATCGCCTGTCTTTACGATAAGCCACGAAGCGAGGGCGCACCGGACTGGAAAGCTGGACTTGGAAACACTGAAGCGCCCCTGCTGTCATAGCACAGTAAGCAAAAAACAACCCGGTCCGGTGGAGGTGGCGGGACTCGAATCGAACGTGTGACCCCACCAATGGATTTCTCGTGCAGAGAGCAATCCGTTGGTGGGGGTCACACGTTCGACTCGAGTCCCAATTAGCGACTCTGATGCTCAAAACGCGTCTAGAGTTTTTGCCGCCTCCACTGGTCATCAGCGTCGTCCCTACCTGGAAAGCCAGGAACTGTCTTTGCGGTGTGGGGGCGAGATGCGCAGAGGGGAGCGAGCTAGAGAGCTAGATAGCCTCAATTTGGTGAAATGGCGACTCGCTGCAGCGACCCCTCTCGGCGTGACTCGATTTTCAGTCGCAAAAAAGTTGAAAACAAAACCACACCGGCGCCACTCCGCGCGAGTGACCTCATCAATGCAGTCGCAGGGGCGGTCCATTGCGCGCGGAGTAGCGACGAGCGCAATTCCTAATTGCATTTCTGTTGCCACTGCAGTGAACTAACAATGTCCCCGCCGGATGCAGAGTCTGGCTGGAGCGGCAACACTGTGAAACCAAACTCCACACGTGAGATGCGGTGTTGTGGAGTTTGCAGTCTCCGCACCAAGAGATATGACTCTAAGCTATACTCCACGCGTGGGAGTGCGGAGACTGGAAATTCACCCGTCTACAGTGTGCAGTAATACTTATCCCGTCGAAGTGTGGAGTAATACTGCACCCGTCAGATTGAAGGGGCAGAGCAGGGCAATACACTGAGAAACGAAACGCATGAATTTGCAAGGTGCATTTCTTATTCTTCATTGCAATTCCACGTGAAGTGCCTAGGATTGCACCTTACGCGAGATGCCCTCATAGCGCCTGCTTTCGTCATTGCCAGAGAGTTCCCAGCAGCGCTGTATAACTCGACCAAAGAAGTCCTACGAAAAACAAATTCCAAACTCTTCTTCTCACTTTTTTTTAATTTTCATGTTTGTATTGCGAGGGCAGAGCAAGAGCCCAACTTTCCTCCGAGTGCAAGGACGCCGTCGGCTGCAGAGAACCATTTCCTCTGGCTCCGTGAGGGCGGCGTTCACTGCGGAAGCGTGGTAGCCTTCGGAACTCGACTCAACCAATTACGGGGCAAAGTGTCGCGTTTTGCGCACCTTTTGAGCGCCGGCCCGCCAGGAGGGGAAATTCACCTCCTTTTAAATCCGCCGTTTGAAGTGAAGACATAATTGGCCGTCGTTTCTGTGGTGGTGGCGCCTTTTCGGGGCCTCTCCGTTCGCCTCGAAGCGTCGTGACTGTCACACAGTGTGCCAGTGACACAGTCACACAGTGTACCAGTGACACAGTCACACAGTGTGCCAGTGACACAGTCACACAGTCAGCCAGTGACACAGTCACGCAGTCTGACAGAGACATAGTCACACATTCTGCCAGTGACACAGTCACACAGTCTGCCAGTGACACAGTCACACAGTCTGCCAGTGACACAGTCACAAAGTCAGCCAGTGACACAGTCACACAGTCTGCCAGTGACACAGTCTGCCAGTGACACAGTCTGCCAGTGACACAGTCCGCCAAAGACACAGCCACACAGTCTGCCAGTGATACAGTCTGCCAGTGATACAGTCACACTGTCTGCCAGTGATACAATCACACAGTCTGCCAGTGACACAGTCATACAGTCCACCAGTGACACAGTCACGCAGTCTCTGCCAGTGACACAGTCACACAGTCTCTGCCAGTGCAGTGACACGGTCACACAGGCCGCCAGTGAAACAGTCACACTGTCTACCAGTGACACAGTCTGCCAGTGACACAGTCTGCCAGTGACACAGTCACACAGTCTGCCAGTGACACAGTCACACAGTCTGCCAGTGACACAGTCCCCCAGTGACAGTCACGTGACACACTTCACGGAACGCCCCACGCGTCGCCGCGCCGAGGCCTCCTGCGTACTGCTTTCCATTCATAGGCGTGCAGGAGGTCGATGCCGAGAGTCCGAGGGGGTATGCGCTCTCTGAACCTGTGTACCGACTATTACGCTATTACGCTCTATTACGCCACAAATTAATCGGAATTTAGCTAAAAACGGCCTAAAACACCAAAAATTTATAAAATTTTTACATTTTCGGCTATTACGCGACTATTACGCGTATTATTACGCGTGCTATTACAGATAGAGTGAACCGACTATTACGCGAGTGCATACCCCCTTGCGAGAGTCCTTCCCGTCGCTCCGTCTTTTTCGCACCCGTATGGCACGGCCCGTGAGTGCGAGAGAAACAGCGAGGAGTCCTTTTCGTCGCGCTGTCTCTCTCGCACCCCAACGCGACGCCCCGTGAGCGCGAGAGAGACAGAGCGACGGCTCAGGGAATCGGCCTGGTGCAGGCCGCGGTGCAGCACCGTGGCGGGCGCTCGAGAGGCCTGCCACGCCAAGGCGCGGCGCTGCGACATTTTAATGGTGTACAATCTCCTTTTCCTTGTGGTCTGCACACCACCCGCCTCCGCCTCCCCCGCCGACGACGACGACGACGCCCAAGACGACGACCAAGACGACGACAAAGCTTTTTGCTGCCTCCTTTGACCGGAAAGTACTCAGCGTTTCCATCACGTCGGTAACTCGCAAAGGCACACGGGCGGCGCCCCAGACTGCCACAGGCTCCGCAGCCCCAGGCCTGACCCAGATCAGAACCTGCACTCCGTGGCTCGGACAGTGTCTCGGCCAGCCTCTCCGCCGGCAGGGCGGCCCAACCTGCCGGGCTGATAGTGCCGTCGTCTCCCCGCAGACCGATTCCGAGAGTCGTTTTCGTCGGCCCGTCTCTCTCGCACTCACGGGGCGTCCCGTACGGGTGCGAGAGAGACAGGGCGACGAGAAAACGACTCTCGGAATCTGTCTGCTGCCTCTCTCACACTTAAGGGGCGTTCCCGGAAGAGGGGCGCGGGAGAGCGAAGCGCTGTTCGTATCAGAATCAGCCCCCCCCCCCCAACCCCTGGCCCGGGAAGCACGGCCATCACAGTATTATCCAAGTTGGATTGCTTTCAACACTTAAAAAAATACCGG